TGATCACGCTCATGAGGAAAGAATGATCAGGGCTAGAGATCTTTGGCATGGGTTGACGAGCTGATGGAAGGGTTCTCCTGGCAACTTTTCCAGCCCCCAGCTTTTGCTCATGTTTGTTAACTGATCTTTTTAAGGTCATGGTCTGGTGACCCTCCAAAAAGAAAAATGCTGGTTCTTCCTCAGTGGTGTCAGGTTTAGATGCAGCATGACATGCCTGAGTTCTATTGTTTTGATACTTGAGATCTCAGAAATTCAACTCCGCAGAATGAGATGACAACTGTGGTCGAAAAGTCCAATTATTTTCAGCTTCCACTCTCTGGGGTGTGGAGCCACTCAGACCATTAAGGAGAGGTTTGTAAGGCTTGACAGTGGCAATTCCCATCTGGGCTTTCTGCCCCTGCCTATCCACTCCCTTTCTCTACAAAAGTAAGTTTCCAATGGGAAGCATTTCAACCACAGAGAAAAGTGGAGAGATGAATAAAGGAATGAGCAAATGCACAGCATTATGGGAAATAACTGGGCAGCTACCATGCAGTGGAAGAACCACTAGTTCTGAAATCAGCCTGGGTCTGAACTCAGATTTTGCTATTTACAATTGTGTGACCATGGGCAAGAGACTATCCCTCTCTGGGCCTCAGTTTCCTGGCTCTATAGTGTTGAGGATGGGTTATATTTTCTCCAGGTTTCCTCTCCAGTCTTAATTCTTTGCACCTGGCACATAATAAGGGCTTAACAAATAAATTACAAATTTCTCTTACAGGCTCCAAATTGGCACTACCAGCAGAGTGAAGACTCTGAGCACAGTCTAGATCTTGGTGGCATTGCCATTTAATGCTGTCTCAAATATGAAGGCTCAGAAATATTGTTGGGGAGTATTCCATAGAACTTTAGCTTTACAAGATGCAAGAATCTGAAACCACCCATTGTTTGGATAGAAGGAAAATCAATGACAGCTGACATTTATCTACTTCTCTTAGGTTTACATAACAGAATCACAGACTTCTAGAATTGGCAGGGGCCTCAGAAGCAACTACTCCAGCTCATTCCTGAAAATGCCACCTCTCTACAACATATCCAAGAGGACATCTAGCCACTGCTGAAAGCCACTCTCTAGACAGTTCGTTCCACTTTTGGACAGAGCTCGTTGTTAGGAAATTTTCTTCCTGATATCAATTTTAAATGGTCTCTATAACTTCCTTAAATTATACTGGGTTCATCCTTTTGGGACCCAGTAGAGAATCTCATTCCTCTTCCATGTGATGGCCCTCCAAATATTTGGAGACAACTATCACATTTCTCTTAGGTCTTCTCTAGGATAAACATTCCACTTTCTTTGGTTGGTATTCACATAACATGAGCTCTCAAGTACCACCTGGAGAAAGCACTTTGTATGTGCTTTATATATACTTTTCTGGGCTATCTCCTCCAATTACAATGTAGACTTCTTGAGGGGGAAGGGATTATTTCCCTTCTGTCTTTGTAACCCCAGCCCCTAACACTGTGACCACCACACGATAGGCACATAATAAATGCTTAATGAAGTTTGAGTGAATGAACTTCCCAATTTTATCAGCATTTTGAAGATTTGTTTGGCTCATATTCCAAAGCATAAGCCCTGTTTGGAGGGCTCATGGCAGAAACAGACACATCTTGGAAAAAAACTGGCACTATGTAAATTTTTATTTATTGATAAAACAACCTTGAGGCAACTGAACATGACTTGTGCTTCCTGTAGATTAGGGGGAACTAGAGCAGATATTTTAAAAAACCAGCTTCTGAAATATTCAGGAAGTTGAGTCCTCAGATAGGGTGTCAATAATTTATTTGAACCGTTGTAACCAAAATACAGCTTGGCTTTCTCTGCCTTTGGCTGCTGAGACCAATCCTATTTTTGTCACGTGTTCAATGACCATCTAGACTGTTTGCCCAGTGTAGAAAAAATCAAGCCCTCCCTATTAGGCAGTCATAGTTTTTTCATATAATCTACTTTTAATGTTTTATTAATGTAGAAATGTTCATGTTTGTTGGTGTTTGTCAATTTCAGAATAAGAAAAAGTTGAAAAATAAAAATAAAAAAGAAATGAGTTCAGGTGGGGCTGATCCCAGGACTGATTCTGGTCATGAGTGTTAATAACCCCTCTGGAAAGTTACAAGTAATTCATTGATCTCTGCCACCACAGAATAGAAATATAATGCAGCTAATTCAAAATTATTAATGTGACAAGCCTCTTGACCGATCACATTCGGACTTATGAATACCATTTCTGTGTACTGTTTTGGTGAAAGTTTTGTATATCAGGGTAGTGAGAACCGATTGTTATGACTAAAAGATCAATGTGTATATAGGATATATTCATACACAAGATTACATTTCGATAGTACTTTAAAGTTTAGGTTTACAAAGTGATTTAAATCAATCAAGAGAAAAGCATTTATGCAGTCTCTACTGTGTACCAGGCACTACACTTTCCTCATTAACAGAATTGCAGTAATGCTGTTAATAACCATATAGTGGATAGAAGCAGACCTTGGACTCAGAAAGACCCGGGTTCAAGTCTCACCTCTGATTCAGAATGGCTGTGTGACCCTGGGGAAGCTCCTGAACCTCTCAGTGCCCTAGGCAACTCTCAGGCATCTCTCTAGTTGAAAAGCAGGTCCTGGATAAGCATTAATAGGGGGAATTCCTTACCAGGATTCTGTATATCAAGAAGGTAGATAGTAGAAACATTATTATCCTCTCTGTTTTACAGATGAGGAAAATGAGGTTCTGAGAGGTTGACTTGCCCAGGGTTAAGCAAGTAGTATGTAGATGTCAGATCCAAGTCTTTCTCACTCCAGGTCTAATTGTTCCCTCCCCTCCCCCAGCATAATACCTGAGGGACTCTCACCCCTTCATTGAAAGCTAAAAGAGAATTTATGATCATTTATGTCACAGTCCCTGATTCTGGACCGGTGTAACCTCAAATAGACCATAATAATTATCTACCTCTAGTTTTGAAAATCTTTAGAGGAGCTAAAAGAATGGTGTGGCAGAAAGAGCAGAAGATTTGGAGTCAGAAGACCTGAGTTCAAAACCTTGCTTTCCCACTTACTGGTATATGACCTTAAGTAAGTCATTTCCCTTCTCTGGGGTTCAGTTTCCCCATTTGTAAAATAAAAGGGTTGAGTTGTATGACCTCCAAGGTCTCTTCCAGCTCTGAATCTATGTTCTTAATGTCAGGTCAGAGGCTTTAATTTTTTTTAAAGGTATGCTAGATGGAGAAGAATTTGGAACTTTGCCAAAAGGGCAACCACACTGTGCGTACCCTTTGATCCAGCAATACCACTACTGGGTCTGTATCCCAAAGAGATCACGAAAAAGGGAAAAGGACTTATGTGTACAAAAATAATTATAGCAACCCTTTTTGTGGTGGCAAAATATTGGAAGTTGAGTGTTTGCCCATCAGTTGGGGAATGGCTGAAGAAGCTGTGGTATATGAAGGTAATTAAATACTAGTGTGCAGTAAGAAATGATGAACAGGCAGATTTCAGAAAAATCTGGAGACTTGTATGAACTGATGCAAAATAAAATGAGCAGAACCAGGAAAACATTTTACACAGTATCTACAACATTGTGTGATGACCAACTATGAATGACTCAGCTCTTGTCAGTGATGCAACCATCCAAGACAAGTGCAAAGGACTCATGAAGGAAATGCTATTCATTTCCAGATAAAGAACTGATGAACTCTGAATGCAGATTAAAGCATATTTTTTCACTTACTTTATTTTTTTCTTGTGTTTTTTTTTTTCTTATCTGTTTCTTCTTTCACAACTGTGACTAATATGGAAATATGTTTTACATGATAGCACATGTGTAACCTATATCAAATTGCCTACCATTTTAGGAAGAGAGGAAAGGAGGGAGGGAGAAAAATTTGAAACTCAAAATCTTGTAAAAATGAATGCTAAAAATTGTCTTGATGTGTAATTGGGAAAAATTAAAATACTATTAAAAATAAAGATATCACTAGTGGTGATGAGGAAAAGACTCAAAGAATCTTTCTACAATTAGTCTGAATGGGAATAATTCTTGAGGAAAAAGTAATCAGGCAATTTAAGTTTCTATAATGAAAACTTGATCTTAGCATCCAAAACCTGTGCTTGATTCTCCCAATTCTAGTACAGGAAAGCTGGAAAGGGTCAATGAAAAAATCAGAAGCTGTATAGGTATTGCTTTTGATCCTAACTAATCTTGTATTTATTCTATACAGAGAGGGTGTCCCAAAAGTCTTAGTGTAGTTTTAAGCTTTAATAGCTTAAAATTTTACTAAGACTTTTGGGACACCGTATATGTATACACACATATATATGTACGTGTGTGTGCATATTATATATGTATACACACATATATACATGTATATCTATTTATATGTATATCTACCCCAATAGAACATAAACTCCTTGAAAGCACGTAGTATTTAATTTCTTTGTGTCTCTCTCCGATGCCTGACTACTCAAGCATGTGCCTGCGCATAACAGTACTTATTCATGGTTGTTGACTGTTTAATTTCTGTCTTGAACAAACCAAAGCATAGTCTATCAGGTGAAGAATTGGTACCAATGGCAGAAAAACAAGTCATCTGGACCCCATAGCACATCCATGACCTGTGCCTGCTATGTGGTGGGGAATCCCTGTCTCCTACTGTGCAGCTGTGGTCTCTGACCTTGGAGAGACTCTCTCCATGAAAATAATAACTATGGATGTAGTGTTTCCATGTCCAGATAGGGATGGAGAATAAAGTAGCAACCAAATAGGGTGGTAACAGACATCCATACCAGACATGGGAAATTAACCTTATGTAGACAAGGTATAACTTAGTGAATGGAGGAAGTTGACTTCCTGGGTGAATTCTGGTCCTGGAATGCTAACTGAGGGACATTTTCAGAGCCAGAACTTGGAAAGCACTGAGAATAGCTGAAGAAGTCACCCTGAGAAGAAATGCATGCTATGTGCCTACCTCAGAATTGATTTTCATTGTTTCTTCTGTGTGGTAAAGTAAGAGCTTTTGACCCGAAGAAGTTAGGTTAACGTAGACCTGGAGGCAGGGATACTGAGAAAGCTTCCGACAATCCGGACCACAATTAAAAGAGCAGTTAAACGCTTCTGTGATGGAAGCATTAAGCAATGTGCATTGAGACTCTTCTGTCCATACACTGAAAAGAGAGAGAGAGAGAGAGAGAGAGAGAGAGAGAGAGAGAGGAGAGAGAGAGAGAGAGAGAGAGAGAGAGAGAGAGAGAGAAATATTAAATGAATTTTCATGGTCACAGAGTAAGTGTTAGAGTAAGAGAATTTGAACCCAGGTCTTGTCTGCACACCTAGCTCTGTACCCACTATGCTGGGATACTTCACCAGCATTATAGGTTATAGATGATTTGGAAGAAGTTTTCACGTCAGTGAAACCACAGGTCTTTGATGTATAGGAAGTTCTAGGTCTCCCCCATCTCAGTCTAGTTCTCATTTGTCTGATGTTTTTCTCCATTCCCTGACCCTCCATCTGTGCCAGGCTTAAGTCCAAGAACCCCAATGGGCCAGGAACAGACCTTGTACAGTCAAATGTTCATAGGCTCTTAGAATTAGAGCCGCAAGGGTTGTGGAGACCATCTAGTCCAACCCTCTCATGTTATAGAGGTGGCAACTAGCCCCTGGGGAGGATGCAACTTGTCCTTATCACTTAGGACATAAACATCAGAGGCAGAATTTGGACCTAAGTCTTCCTGACTAAGTCTAGTGCTCTCTCTATCCACTAAACCTGAGGTGTCAAACTCCAGCAGAAGGCTGTGACTCCTGAGTGCAGCTAAACCAGCTTAAAATGTAGTTGGGAAATGTTTAACAATGTGAATAAAAATACAATACAACATAGATAATGTTAACTTGTGGTTTTCTAAGTTAGTACATGGCAGGAAGAATCTATTTAATTTCTATTTGATTTTGACACCACTGCATTAAACCACACTGTCTCTCTCAGGAAATTGTTGTTGTTTAGTTATGTCTGACTCTTCACGACCTCATAGGGAGTTTTCTTGGCAAAGATACTAGAGTGGTTTGCCATTTCCTTCTTCAGTGGATTAAGGCAGATGGGGTTAAGTGACTTGCCCAAGGCCATACAGCTAGTTCATACCTGATGCCAGATTTGAACTCAGGTCTTCCTGATTCCAGGCCCAGCACTTTATCCACTGAACCATCTAGCCGCCTCATTCTCTTAGGAAAATCTAGATGCAAACTCTACCTTGGGTATACCCAGTACTGCATGGCTAAGTGGCAGTATTTTCAAAGTTCAGAAACAACCCAAATTATAGTACATTTTCAGCAAGTCAATCAAATGACATATAAGTATTTATTAAGTACCTGCTGTGTGCCAGGGTCTATACCAACCACTAAGAGACAGAAGAATGAAAAGATCCCTCCTAACAATGAACCAATAGGGGAGAAAACAAGTACATAAATATGTATAACATGTAAAGTTAATAAATACATACATGTATACATGAGTATATATGTATGTATGTACACAATATACTATATATGTATATATGTGTGTGTGTATATATATATATATATATATATATATATATATATACACACACACACATTATCTATATGTGTGTATACATATATATCCAATTGAAAAGAGGCCTTTCTCTAGAAACTGAGGGGTAAAATAACTTTGCCATGAGTTATTTTGTGCAACACTAGAACAAAGACGGGTATCAGTTCTCCCCAGCTGCCAATTGGAGTGGTCATGGTTATTAAAAAACAAAAGATTGTTTTTGAGCTTGATGATCAATGGCTGCATTTGTAATTAGGAAGTAAAAGAAGAGCAATCAATCTCCAGGTCCAGGGTATAAACTGATTCCCCCAGTGACTGTGGGCTGTGGGCATTTTCTGTCTTGGTTTAGCAGTTTGTTGGTAGGGTCCTTTTATTCCCACCCTTGGCTCTTCCAAGGGCATGGCTTTGTAGGAAAGGGTGGTAGGAAGCTAGACTTGGTAGACCAAGGCCGTCCCATCAGGTTATGGAAATTGTGATTCTCCGGGTGAGGCATGGTGAGGTGTGGTAGGACTTTGCTGACACATCTGTGGGGAGCCTTAGGTGGGCCCTGGGCAGGAACAGTGGCTTTGGAGCCTTTTCAGAGCAAGGCACATGACCCCAAGCCTAAAGTCTGGGCTCTTTCTTGAAGAATTAACGTAGCTGAAAGCCATTAGCAGATTTTAGTGGAGCCATAGCGACTGTGAAAGATGATGCCTTAATTTCAGCAAATGGCTGTGTTTCAGTTGGATTTTGTTTCTAAAATGAAGGTATTAATTTTGGGTGCTATAAAATAGCTTTATTCCCCTTTCTAAATTAAACTTCCATTTTTCACAGGAGAGAATCTTGTTTCTGTAGGCAGCTGGACATTGCCATGATTTCCCAGGGGACTTAAATAAGTCATGCGCTTTTGTTTTGCTGCGGTAACCAATCCTTTAATTTATGGAAAACAGCCAATTCCAGGTGAGGTGATGGAATGAATGGATTCTATGACCACACCTTGTAAAACGAGGTATAGTTAGAAACTAGCTTTCTGTTTCCTAACGTTTTTTCCTTGGACTTCTATTTTTTTGTTTTGATCAACAATTTTATTGGTTTAGCACAATGGTGTCAAAGTCAGCTAGAAATGGGGGTCACTAAACCACGTATAAAGATTTCTCTGTGGGCCACATGTTGACTCAGAAAACCACATATTCATATTATCTATGTTTTATTGTATTTTTATTTATTTTGCCAAACATTTTAATTTGGTTTTGACACACTTGGGAGAGTTGCGGGTCGCATGTTTGAGTTTTCTGGCATAGAGAACTCCCTGTACTAATCCAAACAGGTAACTTTTCTGCAGCTTACAGAGTTGTCTGTAGCATTGAGAGGCTAGGTGCCTTATCTGGGGTCACACAGCCAGTATGTGTCAGAGGTAGAACTTAAACTCAGGTCTTCCTGGTTTAGAGGTCAGTTCTCTTTCCATTATACCTCTTTCTATTCAATTTAGTTTTACTTTGAAGTGATTTTTCAGTCATGTCTGACTCTTCATGACCCCATTTGGGGTTTTCTTGGCAAAGATACTAGAGTTGTTTGCCATTTCCTTCTCCAGCTCATTTTACAGATGAGGAAACTGAGGCAAACATGGTGAAGTGACTTGCCCAGGGTCACGTAGCTAGTAAATGTCTGAGGCTGGATTTGACAGTTCTTGACTCTAGGCCTGGTGCTCTATGTAGTATGGCACCACCTAGCCGTCATACGGCAAATATAAAACTGGAGACAGTGGAAAGAGTTGAGAGTCAGAAGAGTTGAATTCAAATCCCACCTCTGATGTTTACTATGTGTGTGACCTTGGGTAAGCTCCTTGTTTTATTTATTCTATTTGCATCCCTAGTGCTTACCAAACTACCTGGAACATAGGAGATGCTTAATAAATAATTGTTGATAACCATCCTGTGCTTCAGTTTCCTCATCTCTAAGATGAGGGCATTGGACTACTTGGCCTTTACAATCCCTTTCAGCTCTAGATTCAGATCTAGATGATCCTACCAATGAGGATTAGAATCCTGGTTTTAGTCTTGGACTGTTGGGTAGGATGGTTGAGTGTGAATTTGGGAAAAGGGAAGAATGGTTGGAAAAGAAGCACATAGGAATGTAGAGCCAATTAACCAGATGTTTCTGAATAATATTGAAAATTACCTTTGCATGTATGAGCGCAGGAGTGTGATTCCTAGCAGAAAGTACATCATGATGGCACAGACCATCATAGCCAGTCCCAGGAGAATGGCCCGGTCCTCTCCAGCTTTCAGAGCAGTGACTGTTTTCCTTTTGTCCAGAAGGTCGTGGTCCCTGATTTTTTGGTAAATATTTCTGAGGTTGAAAACAATAATTCTCATGTGAACATCACATTTTATCACTGTATCCATAGAAGGTGCACGGCCACATCTTCGGGAGCAGGGAGGGCTTATGGAGGCCCATTAAACCTTTCTGCAATAGTCAGCATGCTTGGACTCTTGTGGACACAGTAGCCCTTCTCTCCCCCCAGGGGGTACCTAAAACTACAGCTGAGTACAGAAAAAGCGCTGCGCCCTGGCCTGCCAAATTCACATGCCAATTTACAGTTTTTCCTCTAAAATTTATTTTTATTGCCTCTCTTTACCCTCCTGTCCCTGAAGAAAGAATTCCCCTTCTTCTTCACCCTTTAAACAACTTTCTGGTTTTATTTTGGGCCAGTGATCCCTGAACTTCATGCTCCGTGCTCTCGAGAAGTTGGCAGATTTCAGTAGCTGTTCATGGTTGATATATTTACAATTTCTAATGACCGAAGAAAAACATTCATCAGAACAAATGTCAATACACAGTCTGGATCTATCAACTTTGTCACTGAGTTGCTCCATGGTATGCAAATGGTGGAACCTTTCTGGGTAAACTCTGGGCCATTGCATTGTTTTTGCTTTGGGTGGTGATGGTGTGGGAGGTGTGTATTGATTTAAGATTAATGAGGGAGGTGATAAGACAATAATGACCTGGAGTTCTTTTTCACACATTAATGCTTGGTGGGTTAGAAATGTGTTGACAGAATTCAAATTAGAATCCCCGCCCCCCCCCCTCCCGTTCTTCCCCAAATGCTATCTGTTTCCTTTGGTGGTACTTTATGTGCTTGTTTTTAAAGAAAATTGTTCATAGAACATGGGGAAACAATGTTAACTATGTTACTAGAGCATCGACCCTTCCCCAAAAGTTTTCCCATTTCTCCTAAGTTTAAAATGTTTAAAATGACAGGCGACGGTAATGAGTGGGACAAAAGACTTGGGTGTTGGGAAGAGGGAAAACAACCCCCCCCCCCAAAAAAAAAACCGTACTAGACAAAATGGAGAATGAGGACAACATTTCAGAGTTGGGAGGCAGCATAGCTTAGTGGATAGAGTATAGAGCCTACGTCTAGGAAGACTGGATCTATTGATATTTACAAATTAGAAATGAAAACATCTCAGTATTATTATTAATATAAAAGTAGTTTTAACCTTATGGACCTCCTGAAGGTCTCTTGAGGACCCCCAGGGGTTTGCAGACCACACTTTCAGAACCATTAACATACAATGTGTTTTGAAAAGTTTAAATTTAAATATGGCAGCTATTATTATTGGGATGAATGGCAAGGGAAGTAGAGGAGAAATTAAATGCCTAGGAGGAAAGAAGAGAGAGAGGGAAATGAAGAGTGGTCCAGAGTCTAGTTAGAGAAGAAATGGGCTTGGCGGGAATGAGGCTTGGCTTTGGAAACAGAGAGAAGGATGAAGAGGGCTAGGAAAATGGGAGTTCCAGATGTTTTGCATTAATCATTTTCATATGAAAGCTCATTTGCAGCACAGTATCTGTTGACTTTTTCCTAGTGTTTGACATGGGTCACTGATGGGCACTGGACCCTAGATTTAATGCATTCTTGGGACTATCCTGGTCTAATAGCTTTCTACCTTGGACTCATAAAACCAAAGTAATATAACTGACATGGAACATTTTGGAGAGGGAGAGGGTGTGCTGGGTCTGCCAGCGAGAGCATGTGTATGGATTTTATATAATTACCAAAAATGTCTCAATCTAGACACAGCTTGGTTTGCAATTGAATTTTTTTTTTTGTGGGGAGAGGGGGAGGAAGAGGGGTGGGAGGAGAGGACTGGACCTATGATTTCATTGGTACATGGAGATTTGTGGTAAGGAAATTTTCTCTGCCAATGATTTTCTGCAGTTTATAGTCTTAGAGATTTGCCTGGGGACACTGAAAGATTAGGTGACTTGCTGTCAGCGGGAGTTGAACCAGGTCTTCCTCTTTCTGAGATCAGCATTCCACTATGCCACACTCCCTCTCCTTTTTGCTATGGTCCCCTAGCTCTTGGAGTTGGTTTTGATAGGACTGAAAGTAAAAGACTTGCTTTTAAATATTTCTGTATGATGTAATTGAACACAATCCTATCCTTCCCATGTGTGATGGATACTTTGATTTAATGAGAGTTTGGGGGTATGTAATGGGACCCTCTGGTCTCTAGTTTCTAACTGTTGCCACCCTCATGTTGTATTAGTCTGTCCTGATGCCTTTGGGACCCCTGAGTCCTATTGCTTCTATATCTTTGACAGAAGTTACTGTGCTTCATTTCCCACTGTCCCAAGGCATGCTTCCATATCTTTCATCAAGCTCTTTCCTTTTTCTGTGTCACAGATCCCTTGGGTGGTCTGGTATAGCCTATGTATCCATTTACAAAACAATGTTTTTGAATGCATAAAATGAAGTACATATGATTACAAAGGAAACTAATCATATTGAAATAAAGTTAACAAAATAGTAAAAAAAAAGTTCACGGACCCCAGGTTAAGAACCTCTACTAGATATATTGTGTCCCCATTGCCTAGTGCCATACTAGGCATATAGGCACTTTTGTATTTGTATCTCTGGTGCCTGCAACATAAAAGATGCTTAATTAAGTGCTTGTTGATTGATTGATTGGGTCCTTTCCCCTATGTTCCATATGGTCCTAATTGGACAGGGGTAGTTCGCCCCTGAATGTGTCCTTTTCAATTAACTTTTGATGTGCTTTAGTATTTTTATTCATATCTATCTATCTATCTATCTATCTATCTATCTATCTATCTATCTATCTATCTATATCTAACTATCTATCTATCTATCTATCTATCTATCTATCTATCTATCTATCTATCTATCTATCTATCTGTCTGTCTATCATCTTTATCACCAACATCATCATCGGTATGAATCTCCAGCTAACCCAGCTAGGTGGGAAGCCTTTGCAAACATCAAGTGACAGCCTGACTCTGCCGGGCTTCAACCGCCTGCTGTAAAGTCATAATCTGATGTTGCTTTCCTATTATTATTTATCAAACTGTATTTAAGGCTGATAGCTGCTATTGAGATTTGCATGTTTCCCAAATGAAAGCAGGCAGGCAAGAAGGCAGCAACAACCAGGCAGTCCCAGAACATTAGCCCATCCCACGGCATAACTTATGTCAAGCTCTAGACATAAAAGAGACACAGTGCAATCAGTCAGGAATGTCACCAGAACAACCAGCATATAAAAATGATTCAAACGGGTGATTTGAAAACAAATAGCAATTTGGAAATGGTTATAAATGCTCTTCATATTCTCTGCAATGTGCAGAGGAGGCAAAAATTATAGACTCCTGCAGAACCAGAGGCATCAGGAGATGTGGATGTGACCTGGTGGATGGGGAGTGGGGAGAAGGGCTGGGATTGATGGCCTAGGTGGGTGGGGGGAAGAGGCACTATGTCTGCCATGGAGGGGCAGCCAGGGGAGGAGTAGAATGGAGCCACACACACCTCTACTCCTGTTCTGGAAAATTCCCAGAAAATGTTTGGAAGAACAAAGAGCAAACGAGGGAAAGTTTCCAAGGTGATTGATGTCAGTGCTGATGGTGACGATGAACCCTGCGCTCTGTGAGGCAGTGGCTAGAGGGCAGCTTTGAGGTCAGGGTGGGTTCTGGTCCTGCTTCTTTTGCAGGCTGGTTGTGTGAGCAAATCAGTGAGTTTTTTAGTAACTCAGGCAACTCACCAAGACTATCCAGTTGTAGATAAGCCGTGGCTCTCTATTGGTGAAGTTTCCACACCAGGAGATTTCTACACAGGTGAAATCATTGGTCTGGACAAAATATGCACATGTATATGTGTATGCATATACATTCTTATATGTGCGTGTACATACATGTATACATGTATGTACATATGCATTTATTTTATGTGATGTATATGTTGATACGTATATGTATATGTGTGTGCATATGTACATATGTATATGTGAGTATGTGTACATATATGTTTGGGGCAGCTAGTGTCTCAGTGGATAGAGTGCCAGCACTGGAGTCAGGAGGACCTGAATTAAAATACAGCCTCAGATACTCACTGGCTGTGGGACCTTGGGCAAGTCATTTAACCCCATTTCCCTCATCTGTAAAATAAGCTGGAGAAGGAAATGATAAACTACTCCAGTATCTTTGCCAAACTCCACCCCCCCGACCACCAAAAGGGGTTATAAACAGTCAGACACAACTGAAACAACTGAACAACAACAATAAAAAAGAGTATGCATGTGTCTATGTGTATGTGCACGTGTGTATATACGTGTGCATGTACACATGTGTGTGTGTGTATATACATGATAGAATGACACAATGTGATACTAGGCAGGGACCTCAGCAGGTATCCAACCCATACACAAAAGGATTCCCCACCATAACATACCTGACAAGTGCTTGTCCCACCTCTGATAAAAACCTCCAAGGAGATGGAATCCTCAGTCTCTCAAGGTACCCACCTCACTTTTGGACAGCTCACGTTGTTGGGAAATTTTTGTGACTTTTACCCGCAAATGCATGTGTATGTGTATATGCACGTGTGTGTGCATGTGTGTGTGTGTGTGTGTGTGTGCTCATGTGAGCTTTGGCAACTCAATCTACCTCTGAGAGCCTTAGTTGCAAGATGGAGACACGCAGTACCTTGCAGTAGCTGCTTAATAAATGTTTTCTGAACTGAAGATTTGTTGAGTGCAGAGGCTGACTTGCCTGTTGGTCATGAGACAAGGGAGTGCAGTGGATAGAGAGATGGATTTGGAATGAGGATAAACCTGGGCTTGGATCCTAGGTCTGACATTAGCTATGTGACCTTGGAATAAATGATCACTAAGATCCCTTCCAGCCCTTGAATTCTGTGATTCAGTGAATCTGTCCTCAACAACATTTTTGTCATCATCTGGTTCTTCTCATCTTTTTCAATGGCGTTCACAAAGGAATGGTCCTTGGATAAGTTGCTATTCTGCTACTGTCTTTTATATTTAATGTTCTCTGCA